GCGGCCGCAATATGGCGGACAGCTCTCTTCGCGGCCCCGCGAGCACGCGAACAGCAGCCCGTTTTGTGTAAATTTCGTGATGCCGCGCGTCACTGCCGCTCACTCAGACGCGTTTTTCACTGACTTCTGATGCTTATTTCGCTGTGATATTTTCAGATGTCAAAATATAATGTATAAAGATGATAAAGCAACAAAAAACAGAAAAGGTGAAATTTGGAAAAAAAACGCGACTTTTCGACCCGCGTCTCCCCTTAAGCGGGAACGTGGGTTCTAAAATTTTTTTTTGAATATTTTGCTCAATCTTAACCAAACTTCACTACCTAAGCTAGTTTTTCATGCCGATTTCAAATCTGTAATTTGTTTCTTAGTATTTCAAGTGGTTTAGAAAATATGAAGGTCTTAATCTTAATTGCGTACTTCTTACGGGACCTTCTTAGCAATTTATTCTTGCTAAATCCAAAAAGTGAATGCATAATTCCAATGCTGGAGACTTGCTGTACAGGGTAATGCTATTATTATCCATTTGAAGGCATTTTATAAGCAAGAAAACGGACAAACACTTCTGGTCACTATAATACAATAAATTTCTCTCACTAAAATCTTCAATGGCAATTTTTGAAGTGATGCTAGAGAAATAGAAATGGCATCACCCCCTAGATCATGTGAAGACGAATAAAATGATACCAACTTTGTCACATTCACTCAAGTTTAACATAGGAAAAACCCCCGTAAGACCGAGTGCAATGTGCAAAAACATCGAACTGAGAAAAACGCGTTTGAAGTTTCTAGTAACTTTAACTTTTGCTTAAGTGAAGCTATAGCGATATTAATGACATCATTCTGTAGCTCTATACTATAGGATAAATGGCCATGCTAAATTTCACTGTACCCACCCAGAATACTGCTCACAGCTTGTTCTAGAACTATAGAATAGTCATAGACTCAGCATGAGAATTATTATTTTTTTACTTTGTGGTCGTTCCAGTGCCTTGCAAGTGAAAGGAACACAAAAAAATCATGTAATAATGTTGTCCTTAGATAGACAATAGATTTACACAATGATTAGGTCTAAAACCAAGAATATTTATTTTTGCAAAAATTCTCACCATTTGCCATCATGACTGTTTACAGCAGACCAGGGCTGTAATCAGAGTCCCCTGCTGGCTTGTGACGCTTTGAAAGTCTTTCCTTTATTGAACTGCTGTCGAAATGCTCTCTTCGCAATTTTTGCAGCCTGCCCTTGTCCTTATCAAGGCTGCGACGCATCAAGTTATTGCCAGCGCTGTAGCCCAGCTTCTCGGCAATTTCCACGTTGCTCTTGGTTGTGCCTTGGTTGAAGCGGCTGATGGCTTTGACAACTGCCCTTTCAATGCTCCGCAAGGATGCATGCTGAGTTTTGGGGGCCTGCTGCCAAATCATAGCGTGCAGGCTCTCACTTGGGTTCTGGGTGATCCCATCGCTGCACCTTTCCAAGAGGGCATTGTCACTCAGCTGCCTAAACACAGGCTCCAATGCCTCAGTTACGAAATCAGGCAAGCTGTCCTTGTGTGGTGGCGGCTTCTCATATTTGGCAAGAGCTCTCTGAAGTTTGCAGCAGGATTCAGGGCCTTCAGGGCAAAGGTCATGCTTTGGTGCCTCGTTAGTTGAAGACATGTGGTTCAAAGTTGCTAGAACAGCCTTCTGCATATCTGGAACATCGTTCCTGTGGCTTCTCAATGCGTAGCCATAGTATGAGGTAATCTTCTTTATCTTTTGTTGCGTAAGTCTGCCCTTTCCACCAAGTGAGCCACCTTGAGCTTTTTTTTTTCTGTACAAGGGTAAATAAGGCAGCTCCCATACGCTTGTGTACATGATTTATGCAGTCCTTTTTGGCCACCTTTATGAAGCCGCACACCTCTTTTTCTGTGAGTGCATGGAATGTCCTGCTGTCGCCGTCCGACAGCATTGTCGTATAACGAACGAAGCTTTTGCTTTTCAAGTGACCGCTCAAACAAGCGTAGGGCTGCCTCCACTTCCATCTGGCCAGCATTACAATCAACATTCTTCTGGCACAGAGGGGCATGCTGAATGAGCCAGGCAGAATGTCCTGCTTCTCCTTCCTTGTGTCCTGTGGTGCAAGCCAGGCAAAAGTTCGATAGCACAATATGGTCTATCACGAGGCCACTATACATCTCAACAATGCAGCCAACACATATATGCGAGCTATGTCCACGCGTAAGCCAGGTGCCGTCATAAATGACGTAGACGTTTCCGGGCGCGTTGCCGAACTCCGCATAGAGCTCCTTGATGCAAGCAACACTCGCCGCTTCGCATTCGGCAGCAGTCGCACAGCAGGTTTCTTTCATTATATTCATGTGGCTTTGGTAACTCTTGCGGTGAAGCCCTCGATGCGAAATATTCATCCCGGCGAAGAAGTCCGACAGAGCCGTTGCCCCCTTGCCGATACTGTTGATGGCCTTCATGGCACGCATATTAACTTCAAGCTGCCTTATTTTGGTGTCGGTCTCGTCGGCTCTACGTGGGGATGAAAAACGCTTTTCGCGAAAGTCACAACTGCCGCACGTGACTATGAGCTTCGAACACAGCCCGTACTCTTTCTTGGCCTTTGAAATAGTGACGCTTCTTTCACCGCATTCTGGGCACGCGACAAGTCCAAATAACGAGCGTATCGCCGCCAGATCAACAATAACAAATTCTGTCCCGTTTTCTTTGCCACCTTGCTCCAGATCAATATCTAGTAACTCGAACTTACGTACCCTCGCGCACTGCGATGTGAGTGATGCCTTAAAGCCCGCTGCATTTCTCGCGCACTCAGCAAACTCGTCCGCCGAATAAAACGCCGTGTCAATGCGGTCTAGGATGCTGCTGGAAGTGCAAGGTAACGATCCGACGACGACGCAATCCGATAAGGTGCTGCTGCAAGGCACAGGAAAGTGCACCGCTTTGGACACAAGCGGCCGCCGTCGTCGGAATGCGCCGCTTCGGCGGCATCGGGCGAAATCAGCTGCACATTGTCGGCTGCTTTCTTCTGGCGGGCGTTCCACGGGCACCTCCGTTTCTTGCCGTACGCTTGGCGCGTCTTCTTCTTTAGACGAGCGTCTCCAATCATGCCGACAAAAGACGGAAAGTCGGTACGTCGGTCGCGTAGCACAAGCAGGCACGTGCGGGAAGCAGACGAACAACAAGCGAGAACGGGAACCGACGGCCGATGAACAATATAAAAAGGAAAGCGCTGGCAACTTTGGCTGCATCAGCCAATAGGAAGCGGGGAACAGGGGGCTCGCCTGGTGCGCGCGCGCTCCGGCCAATCAGCGGCCCGGAAGGGGGCTCTGAAAAGGGGGCGAGGGCAGCCGCTCTGTTTAAGCAACGCCATTTTGAAGGGTGGTAAAATGCACACAAAGGAATCAGCTTCAAAACAAGCCCAAGATGGCAGCAATCAGCCAACTGCCTCGCCAACGGCGCGCGCGGGAAGTTTGAACGAATTTGACCTGCCGTGGGTTGTTTTGCGGCTCCCGTGGCGACTTCATAATCAATTTTAATCCATCTACTGATCGAATTCAGCGTTCACAATTTGAGGACACGTGCTTATGGGTCTAAAAATTTCAAATATCGCATTTTCTCGAAATCGACTTTTTGGCCATTTTTCACCATTCTAAGACCCGTGTCCCCCCTTAAGGGGGCAAGCTGGTCTTTGGGACCAAAAAGTGACAAAAAAATTCATTTCTAAAATTGACATATTTGGTTTCTGCAAATATTTTTCTATCTGTGCAAATTTTCACATACCAGGAAGTATTAATTTTTTTTTGTAATGTCATTATAACTCTCCAGATTCTTGGTGCTGTTAACATGCAGAACATGCGAAAAAATGGGGAACCGACTTCGAGGCTTCTTCATAATTGGCCGGCACCTGTGTTAGAAGCTTTGCTACGAATTTATGGGCACCTTTACGAGGATTGCAAAGCACCACGACTGTTGCTTCTTGAGGAAGCTGTGTGTTCTTAATTTTTTCCATTTTTCTCAAAAAAAAAATTTACGGCAGTTCAACTTTGAGGCCTCAATATCTGCAGCTAGGGCAACTACAAGAATAATTCTTTTTGCAATGGAAACCTGTATATGTGTAGAATGCAAGTATGGGAGCAGAATTTAGAGCACAAGCCTTTTTAATTAATTAATTATCAAAATTGTAATACAATTCCAACTGCTTTTGCAAATGGATAGTTCATTTTGCTGTAAAATTTTTCTATGTCATTTTTTTCCTATGGCGGCCCTAAACAACAGGGGGTGAACTTAAGTTATCTCTGGAACAAGATGAGTTACATAAAAAGTAATTAAATACTTGAAATCAGCAGGAAAAAATGCATAATCCTGCACAGTTTGATCAAGATCACTGAAGAAATGAACAAAAAATGTCTAAGACCAGTCTGCCTCCTTAAGTGGACTACACGTGCTGTTGCTAGTATGTTGCAAGTTGTTCTTCCCATGATGTCAGACTTGTGTTGACATGTCACTGTGAAGCTGCCACCTTGATACCGAAACTAAAATTGCCGTTTTAAGGTAGCGGTATTAAAAAATATATATTCAATGCATTCCCAAGCACAACACCCTATATAAAGTTCTTGATATTTGCGTAATTATTCAAAGCAGAAAAACAAAAAAAATACAGATTTGTATTAGTACTCCTTCAAAGAAACGCTAAAAAGAATTCGGACTTGGTTTAGATTAACAAACTGCACATCGAGAACTCTTAATGGCTTATGTTTAATCAATGAAATTATTTGAAACTTCATATGCCATGTCTCTGGCACCCGCAGATTACAAAATAACACAGGACCCAGTAGATGCCTTCAAAATTTCTTACATCATGGTGTGGGAACCTCAAGGTGGCGCCGCCACTCGCATTTCCTTTTTGCGCGTTTTCTACTAAGCGTCATGTCGCAGTAAGAGTGTCCCTTTATGCAAAGCTATTTTTCTTCCCAGAGGAGCTGCTCAGACATTCGTACCTCGGCATGCTTGGCCATGGAACTGGCCTCGACGGCAAACACCTTGCGAGCGCCGGCTTGCACCGCAAAGAAAGACAGGATGCCCGACCCAGCGCCTACGTCAAGCACCACCTGGAAAAGAAAGAAAGGCTTTGTTTTGTTTCTCTTAAACAACTAAGTTTTCATAGTAAGCACACAAATAAAAAACTGATCCTGTGGCTGGAAGGCTGGGAAAATATTAGTTGAATGCAAAGTATTTTCTTTTTGGGCGTTTGGTTCCTTAATGATAAAAGTGGGTGTTGAAAAAATTTTCTTTGTTATTATTCAGAAAAACTGAATGAAATTCAATACTTATAGGATACTTTTTGCATTAGAACAGAAGATATGTCATTTCTCGAAGTGGTTCTCAAAGTGCTTTCGGACAACCTTGCTTTGCCAAACACAAAAACAAACTACAGTAAAAGCTCGGTATTTGATTTCAAAAGGGACTCTAATATTGTTTAAATTCAGTTTAGTGGGCTGGTGCTAGAATGAATGGATATTGCATCATATTGTGTGGATAGAGCCCAAAAAAGCACCTCTGGACTCATCGTGAGTGCAATAATACAAGTTTGTGGCAGGTGATTTAGTAAATTAGGCATATGCAGCTTTAACAGTGAACAGAAATTAGTTCACCAGTCGGTGTTATGCCACAGACACAGACATGCAATCATGTGAGCAGTGCGCTTCAATTTGGAAATGTAGTCGCTGACGGAGTTTTCATACTGCAAAAATTCGGACTTGTTGGACATTTCGGACTTGACAAATGCACCGTCAAGGTTCCAATTCCACTAATGCAATTTCATGACTCATTTTTCGGACGAATTTTCCAGACTAAATTGGCTGTTTTGAGCTGTGCCACTCGGTTTAGAAAGCCGCCATGTTGAATTTTTTGTTGGATTGGTCGAGTTTGGCTTGCAGTCGCTTATAGTGGGGCCTCCAAGATTAGAAACGTGCATAATCATTCAGTTACAGGGGCCATGTCTGACTTTTCTTGGCTAACAAGACTGCGAAACTTTTCTTTTCAGTGAGCCTTATCATCATCACCAATACGCCGGTACGTTGTTTTTATTTTCTGAGCGTTATTTTCTGGGTGTTATTGGTGTGCGGAATGCGTCTGAGCCATCATGCGCATCACACGCTCACTGCTATTCTCAGTTGCTCAGTAGGCATTGCTCAGCAGTACTCCGCCGCCGTGCTCTGTGGTCATGGTGCTCGGCTACTCCTAGATCAAGGTGGTTTCATTCGCGGCTCCAGCAGTAGCATTTCGATACAGTCGAAACCCTTGATAACGAAATCCCAAGGGAACAAAATTCTCACTGCAACGAAATATTTTCGGAGCACCAGCGAACGCTCATAGGAGTCAATGCATATTGTAAATCGCAACTACGAAAAATATTCATACCACAGTCCCTCATTAACGAAATTTTTGAAACACGAGTGCGCAAATCATCTACTCTCGTAACATTTGCATTCAAAAACTGCTGAAATGCATTCATGCTACACTTAAATTGTGCAAAACTATCTCTAAGTGCACTTGAAAAGCAGCCGCCATCATTGTCTACAAAATAAATGCAAAGCTGGCGATAATGATGATGGTAGAGATGGCATGCCGAAACAACTGCTCGTTATCGCGGTCTACATACGTAGCCAAAGCCACAATCCTCATGAGGTGTCATTTGTTGACTTGGCTTTGTGCTTGGCTTTGTCGGCTTTGCGCACGCATGGTCACGCGTTTGGAGCCATTCATGGAGAGTTTGCTTGGTCGCTTGGTGCAACGTGAATCGTGTGTTGAGATTGCTTCATCCGGTTTCGCTGCCTGCGAAGATGCGGCCCTCAACGAAAAAGCGGAAGTTCATCACGCTGGAAGATAAGGCTGCAATCATTAGCGAGATGGAAAAGGTCCGAAAAAAAAAAGGACCACCGAACAATTCGGCGTAGCTTGCAGCTCGTTGTCCACGATTCTCAAGAACAAGGCCTCCATTCTTGGTGCACTTGAAAACGGCACGAGTGCAAGAAACAAAACCGTGATGGCTGCAGCGTTCCTGGACGTGGACAAGGCGGTGTTCGCAAGGTTTTGTGAACAGCGTGCCAACAAGGTGCCTTTATCTGGCAGGATCCTGCAACAGAAGGCGCTGGACTTTTCTTGTATGCTCAGTCACGACAACTTTAAGGCGAGTCCCGGCTGGCTCAGCCATTTCAAAGCTCGCCACAACATCGTGGCCAAAGTCATCTCCGGGGAGGCAGCAGCCATCGACTCGGTGACGTCTGCTCAGCCACGACAACTTTAAAGCGAGTTTCGGCTGACTGAGCCGTTTCAAAGCTTGTCACGACATTGTGGCCAAAGTCATCTCTGGGAGGCAGCAGTCGTCAACTTGGTGACGTCGTTGTGGCTGCTGAGCAACAAAGAACTGCTCGGCCAGTAAAAGCCCTCGGACATATCTAATGACGATGAAAAACACTGTTTTATGAAATGCTCCTATTCAAAACTATGGACTTTAAATTAAAGGCCAGAAGTGCCACGGTGGCAAGCACAGCAAGCGGTGTGTGACGATTTTATTGTGCGCCAACATGGACGGCACAGATAAACAGCCACTGCTCGTAATTGGCAGGAGCAAGAAGCCCCGCTGTTTCAAGGGGAATCGCAGGCTCTCAGTAAGCTACACTGCAAACTTGAAGTCGTGGATGACGCGGGCTATTTTTAGCAGCTGGCTCCAGTCCTTCGATACCGACATGGGGAAGGCAAACAGGTCGGTCTGCCTTTTTCTTGACAACTGCAGTGCCCATCACGTCGACGTGCGGCTCGTAAACGTGCGCCTGGTGTTCTTTCCACCAAACTGCACTTCGATGCTGCAGACCCTCGATCGAGGAGTTATTTGAAGCGTGAAGTGCGCTTACAGAAAAAGGCCGATTCAGCATTTGCTGCTACGTGGACGTGGACATGTTTATGGCACTAGAGATGATCCCCTGCCGCATGGATTGCGTCGAGTCCAGCCGTGATAACGAATTGCTTCACACCTACCAGCCTTGTCCCTCTGCAGGCATCATGCACTGATCCAGAGTAACCGGTAAAAGTTGCCTGTAGGCGCACTTGATCACTGTACTGGTAACAGCGCAGTGCCGCCGTCACTGACCAGTACATGGAGCGAACTTTGTGCTGAGATTCCCGGTAGCCTCAGCGTCCATGAGTTTGTTTACGCGGACGAAGGCGTCGTCGCGCATGAGGAAGTGACTGATGAAGTCATCATGAGTAGCGTGTGCGAGGCGGTCGATCCCGATGAGCAACGACCGGAGCAGCCAGAGAGAAAACAACAAGCCCGCAGCTGAATGCCTTCGACACAATTGGCCCGTTTTCTGGCGAGCATGATGACGAAGTAGTGATGGACCATTTCTTACAGTGTGAGTCGAGATGCATGAAATTATTGCATGGTAAAGCCCGCCAAAGTAAACTTACTGACTTTCGGAAAGGTGTTTTTTTGTAGATTCCATGTCTTTTCGGCCGAATTCTCGCGCCAACAAAATCCTCGCAAGTGTGAAATTTTGTGTTTTCCCCGCCGATTTCATTATTGCGGGTTTAAACTGTAGTGGCGAAATGCTAAAGGCTCACATACTGTGCAATGTCGGCGCAGGTGTAAGAAGCCCATACCGTGTTGTAAAATTTCACCAAACAGACGAGAAGCTACATGCCACTTTTCGCAACCGGCATCAAGTTTTACTACAGCCCAAATAGAACCAAATTTCCTGGTCCCCAAGAACAGCGTGGAGCATGGCATCATTGTGCGATTTTTTTTTTTTAGGTTTTTCTGATCTGAATAAACTTCACTTTCAGAGCTTCACCATTTTTGTAACTGTTTGATTTTTCGGACTATTTCGCGGTCCCCGTCATGTTCGTAAAATCGGTCGGCGACTGCATATGACGTTTCTGCTCCAAACATGTTTAGTTATTAAGCAATCAAAATTAAAAGTAATCAGTAATTTGCATTTCTTTGTGTTTCATCTGTGATGACATCATGAGCATCAATTGCAGCATGCCCAAGAGCTCTGTGCGGTATGCAAAATCTCCTCTGCTGAGGAATGGTCGTTGTTTTGTGTTACTAGTATCGTTTGGTTTAGCAACACACAGCGATCACTCTCGGTTGATTTAAGCAAGGAGCAATGAAAACCAAGAACGCTCAGTTTGAATTAACAGCCGTGGATACCAATGCGTTCAAATTACCGGAAGTTCTCCCCCAATGAAGGCACAGGGCAGTGCTGGAACCAGAGTGTCAGTTCAAATTAACAATAAGCTTTAATTAAGTTAAAATTAACAAGCATCTATAGTATGTGGGGAGACCCCTAGAGGGCTAGTCTAGCCGACGATGCTAATTCAGTTGTCTTATCGCACTTAGAATGCAAAATAAACTAATGCAAATATAGGTGACAGTTGTCTGAATCAAACACTTTTACGTTTATAGAGAATATAATTTGGTAAACAAACAACATTATAAAAGCAACAACGCATCACTAGCTAGGCCAACTATCTGGCGATCTTGCCGCATACCATGTATATTAGCATAATTTCCACACTTCTTTTCGCAACTTTAGGACTGAGAAAAGGTGTGTATATTCAGCTGGGATTTCGCGAACGCATACTAAGTAATGAGTAATAGTTCTAACGTGCGCAGTATATACATTAAAAAAAAGAAAGTATAGTGGAGCACAAAGTGCACTTGTTTAACAAAACTTACACTAGTCAAATCCGGTCATGCACAGTCTAGTCGGAATCCCTGATCGAAGGCCCGATTGGGAATCACCGTCACAGCCACTGTCATGTCCGCTGTCACCACCCTCCCAAAGCACATCACCCTTGGTTACGTCAAGTGTGTTCGAATGCCCCATTCTCTAGCAGCTCTTCTCGGCAGTTCTGTAGAAAACTAGGTCCCAGGACAGAGCGGTACCAGAGGACGAAAGCGTTTGCACATAAGTGAAAAGGCCTTCTTCAATGACGGGAAACTTGTGTTAGCAAGCATGCACTCTCCCGCTATCTCCCGTACCGATCCCCACACGACAAAGAACTTTTCACTGAAGTGCTTGGCAGTGGCATGGCTCTAGTTTTCTTCAGCCCATCTTTTAACAACGAGCTTCAATTTCTACACATATCTAATTATTGTCGCTCATCACAAAAAAGTTTAGAAAACGCGACGGATGGATGGTGAAACCTTAAGAGAACAAAGAGAACAGTTGGCGCGACAGGCCTTCACACGCCTTCGATGCAGAAAGTTGTCTGCACCCTGCATGCAATCTCCCTGTGGTAGAGATGGGGAGGGAGCCAAGCGCTTCAGCAGTTCCGGCGACCCATCAACAGGTTCAGTGTGCAGGTACGGAGGACCCTAGTTCAGGCCAAGTCCTCAGAAGAAAAGGCTTTGCAGCCTGTTGGACTGCACGTCCAATGCATCCAAACGTGCAAAGGCGAGTGAGGCAGCACAATTTACAATACTTTGTTTAGTAAAGGTGCCAAAATATTGAAGGTGTAAAATTATGCATGGGCGGAAATTATGCGAACAAATACAGCATTTCCTTTTTGTATTCGACAAAGAGGTGCTGGGATAAAAAAACTTTTCCAAGACACATCTCCCCTTAAATGGACTGTCTGAAGTCGTTCCCTGCTTCTCTGCTTTAAACACAAAAAAGCGTACCATCTGAAGTGCCTAATATTGCAGCGGTTTCACTGAAAAAAGTATAGAGATTTTGAAAACAATTTTTCTATCTGCGTTCGGTCTCCTTCCATCGGTGGAATGAATGCCTGCAACATTGGTTGGTGGAGGCGTTGACAATTGTACTGCCGCTGAAAGTCTGAAACTGAAACCCCGTGCGGTTTTCATGGGAATCACGTTTTGTTTTTTAATGAAACAAATACAGTAAAACATCACTGAGTCGAACTCGGATAATTCGAAATTTTGGTTAACTTGAACTACTTCTGCGGTCCCGTGCTTTTCAATACATATTTTACCGGATTATTTGAACAGCCTGTGGGGTTTCATTCTAATAATCTGTAATTCCCGCCGGCAACAATGGACGTGAAATGGCCTTCCGGCGATGCTTATCTTGGAGGTCATAATAGTTAAAGTAACGGAAACGAGTTAAAATGCGTATCCCGTTTCGAGTTTTTCACATAGCTCGCATGCTTCCGACCATTAGTCTTTTTTACTTCGCCTCCTACGCCTGCTTGTGTGGCGTGCGAAGTCCTGACCGCTTTTTGGACTCACAATGCCGACGCACAAGACGCTGACGCTGAGGGAGAAGGTGTCCCTGATTAAGGAGGCTGAGAAGTCGACATGCCCGAAAACCCAACTCGCCGAAAAGCACAAGATGCCCTTGTCGACGCTGTCGACCATTTTGAAGAACAAAGAAATGTTGCTCGAGGCATATGGGAAAACGCATTCGTCGAAGCGATCAAGGATTCGCTTCCCAACGTACCCGGACGTTGAGGTCGCTTTGATGAAGTGGCTGCAGCACGCTAACGCACCTCATCTTCCGGTAAACGATACCGACCTTCGGGAGAAGGCCGATGACCTGGCACTGCGCCTTGGCAATGAAGGTTTCAAGTGGAGTAATGATTGGTTCGCCCGATTTAAAGAACGAAATAACCTTACATACTTGACAGTGTGCGGGAAAAGTGGCAGCGCCGACACGAACGTCGTTGACTAGCAGATGCGTACGCTGGCACCGTTGCTTCAGGAGTTTGGCGAGGACGATGTCTACAACTTGGATGAAGCAGCCTTGTTCTACAAGATGCTTCTAACGAAAACATTTGCTGCCAAGGACACCACTGTCTCCGGAAGAAAGCAGCCCAAGGAGAGAATATCTTATTTTGTTCAGTGCGAACTTATCTGGAAGCGACAAGCTTCCACTGCTCGTAATCAGCCGATAGGGTAAGCCTAGGTGCTTTAAGAACACGTGCCTTCCTCCGAGGGATCTTGTCAGGTACGGCATAACAAGAAGGCCTGGATGATGGCGGCGATAATTAAGGAATACGTGCGGTTCTCCGACTGGAAATTTGCCGCCCAAGGACGGAAAGTAATCTCTGTTATTGATAATCGCTTGGCCCACAGGGACATCAGAAACCTGAAAGCCGTCAAGATCATCTTCCTCCCGGCTAATGCCACGGCCATATCACAGCCGATGGACGAAGGGGTGATCCTGCAAATGAGGAAGATTTACCGCCACCACCTATTGAAGCAGGTTCTGCTTTGCTACGACAATGGGAAGCAATACCACATCGATCTGCTTGGTGCGAAATGTTTAATTGCCTTTGCCTGGATGGAGTTGGAGCAAAAGGTGATCAAGCGCTGTTTTGAACACGCCGGGTTCTGCAAACAAGGTGGCGAAGATCTTGATGAAGATGGCAGCTCGTCCAGCCTAGACGACGACGGAGACTCGATGTGCGCCAGGATCACCGACTCCAGCGACGGCGAGGGACTAGGCTTCGTGGAGTATTCTAGTGTTGAGGCGGGTGTACAAAGATCATACGCTAATGTGCACGAGGACGTCACTGAGAGTGCGCAGGTCGGCGATGATGGTGACGATAACGAGCCCGACCGCGCGCCCGATTTGGCTTTGGTTGTCGATGCCGTGAACACCTTCCGCAGCTTTGTCCTGTGCAACGGTGGTGACAGCGAAATGCTGAGTATTGTGAGCAGGTTTGAGAACATGGCCCTTGGGGTGGCGAACTACTGCAATAAGTAATCTAGTATCACCGATTATTTCAAACAACCTTTTTTTTGCAAAAAAAAAAAAGAATGTGATTTCGTCTTGTAGCGCTTGTCTGCTTTTTTTTTTCTTTATTTCGGTTAATTTGAAGAATTCCGACGGTCCAGCGGGCTTCGAATTATCGAGGTTTTACTGTACTTGAATAACCGTTTAAGGCACGCATTCACTATCTTGTTGTTCTTATGGGTGGCAGCTAACGCTACACTAGCGTTTCTCCGCCGGCAGCGCCATTGTGGACGCGTGAGGAAAAAAAAAAGCAACAAACAGCTTTCTCAAGTGTATAAAATACAATTTCAAGTTTTACATGCTTGTTTTTAAGTAGCCGAAGTCTACCTGCGAAAATGTTTTGTCGTATCAGTAGATAGACCACATTGCTCTTGGGTGACAGTAGGGTGACATCTCTCTGCCAATTTTCTCAGATTAGAAATTGGTAATTTTTTTAATGTCATTCTAGCTATCCAGATTCTTGGCGCTGTTAACATGCAGAACCTGCAAAAAGTGGGGAACAGACTTCGAGGCTTCCTTTATAATTTGCCAGCACCTGTGTTAGAAGCTCTGCTACGAATTTATTAGCACCTTTATGAGAACTGCAAAACATGTGCACCATGATTGTTGCTTTTTGAAGCAGTCGTGTGCTTTCAGTTTTTTCCCTTTTTCTCAAAAAAGTAAAATTACGACTGTTCAATTTTGAGGCCTCAATATCTCTACAGCTAGGGCAGGTACAACAATATTTTTTTTTTTTTTTGCAATGGAAACCTGTATATGTGTAGAATGCAAGTATGGAAGCAGAATTTAGAGCAAAAGCCTTTTTAATTATATACTCATCAAAATTGTAATACTATTCCAACTGCCTTTGAAAATGGATAGTTCGTCTTGCTGCAAAATAACCAAGAAAGGCCTAAAAACAAAAAACTCTTGCATACTTTCAATCTATAGTCATTAGTCTATGTTAGCATATCTTAAATATCCCTTTTATATAAGCACTTTATTTTCTATGGTGGCCTTAAACAATAGGGGTGAACTTATGTTATCTGAGGAACAAGATGAGTTACAAAAAAAACTAATTAAATATTTGAAATCAGCAGAAAAATGCTCCATAATTCTGTGCAGTTTGATCAATATCACTAAAGAAATAAACAAAAAAATGTCTAAGATCAGTCTGCCCCTTAAATTAGTTATCTGCAATACTAACTGTTGCATAGGATGCGTTTTACAGTGCACAAACTAAAGAAAATGACATTAAAAAAAACTGTGGGCATTTCTCAAAATGAAAAAGCCCCCAAATCAAGCAGTGTGTTGTAACTAGCACTCGCATGCCACAGGGGACACAAGCCGCACTTTGCACAAACACAACATGCAAACGTCATCATGTAATAAGAGTGATTGATAGCATTGATCAAATGCATCATACCTTGTCTTTGAAGTCCTCCATGTTGTTGAGGATGGCCCTTTGGTAAGTGGAGGTGCGAATGTAATCTTGCATCATGTTCTGCTGCTGTGATAGATAGCCGTAAAACTGAAACCACAGACAGACAGAATTGTAACAATACTCAAAAATTAAGCACTTCGGTTTCGATTAGATTAAATTAGGCTTTTAACACAATTCTAAGATTAAACAAAAAATAATACTGGTAATATTTTTCTAAACTATACTATCATTACTTTCCCAGCTATAAGTTCATCAATAGAAGAAAAGTCTTTATCCACAGACAGCAAGAAAGAAATATTGAAGCATGCTTCAGTGATGGTCTGGCAATATTGGTTCCCGTGCTGCCCCTGTCTTCAGCTAAATATTACACGACAACCCGACAGCCGGACATCTTGGTGTTTCCCGCACACTGTCACGAATACAAGAGAAGTACTATTGGCCTCGCCTCGCTGCCGACGTCGGCCACTACGTAAAAACATGCAGAGACTGTCAGCGACGCAAGACGCCGACAACTAGGCCAGCCGGACTTCTGCAACCCGTCGAACCACCTCAACGGCCATTCCAACAAATCGGCATGGACTTACTGGGGCCGTTCCCGACGTCAACTTCTGGCAACAAATGGATTGTCGTAGCGACTGACTACCTCACCCGCTATGCCGAAACGAAACAAGGGCCTTGCCCAAGGGCACTGCCGCCGAGGTCGCCATGTTCTTCATTGAGAACATCGTCCTCCACCACGGAGCCCCCGAGGTCCTCATCACCGACAGAGGTACGGCCTTTACGGCTGACCTAACGCAAGCGATCTTGAGGTACAGTCAGACAAGCCACCGCCGAACCACCGCGTACCACCCACAGACGAATGGCCTCACCGAGCGTCTAAATAAGACCATCGCCGACATGCTGGCCATGTACGTGGACGTCGAGCACAAGACGTGGGACGCCATACTCCCGTATGTAACCTTCGCGTACAACACGGCCGTGCAGGAAACGACGCAGTTTGCTCCATACAAGCTCGTCTACGGACGGAGCCCAACAACGACGCTTGACGCCATGCTACCGGTCGGCACCGACGAAGAAGACCTCGACGTCGCCAGCTACCTGGATCGCGCTGAAGAAGCTCGACAGCTAGCCCGCCTGCGTATCAAGAGCCAACAGACGGTCGACAGGCGCCACTACAACCTTCGACGACACCACACCGAATACCAACCAGGTGACCTTGTCTGGGTCTGGACGCCGATACGACGACGGGGATTGTCTGAGAAGCTCCTGCGACGCTACTTTGGACCCTACAAGGTAGTCCGACGTCGTGGTGAACTGGACTATGAGGTCGTGCCCGATGGCTTAACGTCATCCCAACGACGCCGTGCACGACCCGAAGTCGTACACGTGGTGCGACTTAAACCTTATTACGCGCGCTGATTAGCTGTGACGCATTGTTAATGTAATTTATTGCATGTACTCTCTCTTATGTTCTGTCTTTAGCATCGGGACGATGCTTTTTCAGAGGGGGGTAGTGACACGTGCGGTTCTTTTGGTTTACGAAGGAAGACGCTATCACTTTCTGTTGAGCGCAACGCAGGCCGCGTTTATCTTGTATGCCACTCTGGAACGCGTTACGACGCGTGTATAAAAAACTGACACGTGCGGTTCTTTTCGTTTGCGAAGGAAGACGCTATCACTTTCTGTTAAGCGCAACGCAGGCCGCGTTTATCTTGTATGCCACTTTGGAACGCGTTACGACGCGTGTATAAAAAGCCGGCGCAGTGCGCCACTGGGGGTCCTTTTTTTTCCGTCGGCCGACGACTGTTCACGCCGCTGTTGCTGTGAGTTGTGTTTGGCCCTGTTTTGCTGGGCACAAGTTCGCCCAATAAACAGTTCGCCTGACACCGCCCTGACTCCTGCGTGCTTCCTCTCAAGTGCTGCGTGTATCACAACCTCGTGACAATATTTTTATTTGCTACTGACTGTGCCCTAGCATTCTGACAAGGGCAATGTCTTAGGCATTTTTTAAAATATGTTAATGCTTTTATTTATTTTTTTAAAGCAGAAGTCGATAGTAATTGTCATCAACATCAGCCTGACTACGCCCTCTGCAGGGCAAAGGCCTTTGCCATGTTCCGCCAATGACCCTGGTCCTGTGCCTTCTGCTGCCACGTTAGACCTGCAATCTTTTTAATCTCATCAGCCCACCCTACTTTCCGAGTCCCTGTCATGCATTCGCCTTCTCTGGGAATCAAGTCGGTCACACTTAATGACGAGTAGTTTTCCTGCCAAGTTGCTAAATGCCCGGCCCATGTCCCTTTCTTATTCTTGATCTCAACGATAATTTCCTTAGTCCCCTTATCATTTTCCTTTCTATCGCTCACTGCGTCGTCCTCAGTTTAAGCTGGACCCTCTTTATAAGACTCAAGGTTTCTGCTCCATAGGCAGCCCCGGTAATAGGCACAGTCACATGATAGGCACACCCCCATTTTGGTATCGACAAAGCAGACTTTTATTTTCCCACATAATAGGTGCACTGCGCACTTGACCATGACCAGTAGTTCTGTGCGTATTCGCGCAGTTGCAATTAAGTCAACGCCCTTTTACGTTAACTGGAGCAAGCAAAAAGAAAAAAAATCACGGCATATCTACAAAGTGAATAATGATGATGAGTGGAAGAAGCAGTGGGTCGTTCACTTTACTGTAAATCACCCATTAACCACTCATGCATGAAAATGAGAGCCAAGCAGTGTAGAGTTATATACAACGTTTATTGGCCTTGACTGGTATGTTGTGTTTAGTAGTGAATTTCATTTTGCCTTCATTATTACTGTCCTGGCAGAGCAGATTTTGTAGCATATGCCTGCGAACACCTTGATTTTATTATCGAACCGAACAAAACTTTCGACAGGGTTTCTGTCCCTTTGCATTGAGTTGCTCTAACTAATCATTTGTTACACATAATGTCATATGCGCAAATCGATCCGTTGCACATATTTTTAGTGTGGCTGTATAGAGGGGACATATGGACATATTAAAAGAAAAGCGGCGCACAAAAAGACGGAGACAAAGAAGAGAACCACACACAGCGCTGCACTCACAACTGAAAGTTTAATCCGAGCAACAAGAATTTAAAAAGTAATAGCCGCGCATGACAAGTGAGGTACAACGAGATTAAATGATACGCTCATCAATAAAAGTGAACTCTTTTTTGTGCAATGTAACCGAGGTCTGGCTTACGCAAGCATCACGTGACTTGTTAATATGATAGGCTTCAGACACCTCACGGGTGAATTGATCGTGGTGCTTAAAAATAATAACAGTGTTAGACAGATCAGGTGTGCACCCACACGTGGCACAATGCGAAGCCAAATGGGAAAGCGTGCCGTTATGCAAAGAGAGATAGTGCTCCCGCAACCTTTTATTGACACAGCGGCCCGTCTGTCCCACATAATGAAGGCCACAAGATAAAGGAATGCGGTATACCACCCCCACAGCACAAGGCACATACTTATTTCTATGATTTACGGCACATTTCTTTACATCTGGCTTGTCCTTCTTGTCTAGCTGATTTGACACCAATGCACATATCTTTCCCAATTTATTGGGTGCCCTAAAAACCACATCAACTCCGTAGCAGGAACCAACATTTTTTAACCCATGTGCCAGTTTATGCATATAAGGAATTGCTGCGAACTTCATTTTTTCCCGATTGATCTTCCTAGCTGCACGTCCTTTTAAACCACCAATTAACTTATCGCAAACAGCCACAATTATGTTAGGGGGGAATCCTGCTTCCTCTAGTCTTGCAACTTGCTTAGCAAAACCCAAGCCCAACACATGCCTGCACGATTTTTCTAGAGCGGATTTAAGGCAGGTGAAAGCGATGCCCCTCTTTACCACCTTTGAGTGGGCTGATCCAAAATTAAGAATTGGTTTCACTGATCGTGGCTCAAAACACCAGCAAATATGGGAACTCTGAAACCGAAGTTTGAGATCGAGAAATTGTAGACAGTCGGATTCTGGAACCTCCGATGTGAAGGACAGACCCATGCCTTCTGTCCTGAACACCTTCAACACTTTGGAAACATTATCCGGGAACGTGGTATCCTTTATAACAACTAAAAAATCGTCCACATATCGGAAAATACGCATCACAGTTCCGCTTAGGATTGTGTCTACAATGCGATCTATTTTGGCTAAAAAAATTTCACAAAGGACAGGTGCAACACACGAACCTATACAGACTCCTGAACGCTGGATTAGGGTCTGCCCTCGCCAACCAATGTACGTAGACTTTAGGTAAAAAGCTAGTAATTCAGTGAACGATTCTACAAATATACCACTACTACTTCTGAAACGAAGCTCATCATTGTCTTCCTTGATGCATTCCTGAATGCACACTAGGAGCTTATGATTAGGAATCGAAAAAAACATAACAACATCTATACTGAACGCCAGACAGGAGCTCGTGTCGCGCTCCCTAAGAAACTGAACCACCGCACCCGAATTTTCCACTCTAAAGGGATCATGAACGCACAGCTGCTTCAAATGGCTTTCTAAATACCTGGGTACATTTTTCTGCCACGTATCTGTTTCCGTAATTATGGTACGAAAAGGCATGTCAGGCTTATGGGTTTTTATCTAAAGAACGGGCTCAATTCCAAACCCTGGCTTCTTGCCACAGAGGAGGCCAATCTCTCAAGATTAAGGTCCCGCAAAAGGTTAACCGCCTTATCTCTGACCTTGGACAACGTCGCAGAGGCTGGCTTAAAGTTCTTCTCTATAGCTTTACATGTCTTTTCTGAAAACATTCCACTATCCATAATGACAAAGAAACCTTCCTTATCCGCCACAACCGGTCCTAAATCCCTTCCTACGAGCACTTTAGCCAAATGAAAAACAGGTGAAACATTCCGCGCAATTCCATCAGCTTTGGCTAAGGCATCAACACACTCAATGGAAGAAGAGTGTCTTCCACCACCGAACACTTCTCATGAGGACATTGTAATAGCCAATCATCTGGTCTGATTTATCTACTCCTAGCATTCCAGCATTGTATTCATGTATAAGCAATGGCTTTGGTAAAGAAATTTGAGCCCAAGTACTTCCCCCTTTTTCCCATCTTTTCGCCGTGATGGTCATATTGGCTGTGTGAATAGTGCTCACCATGTTGACAGCACGACGGTCCTTCCACTGGAGGTATAATATACCGCGATCACGAAGCCATCTTACGTCCCCACGTCGCATTTTTTTTCCCATCGTGAGTCTTTCAGTTCGACCGGAAATCCTCGCCGGTCTTTTCTCGTACCGCAAGCAAATGTTTTTAGGTCAATCAGGTGACTGAACAAATGTGTCGACGTGTAAAAGTTATCCATAAATATTCGGTACCCCTGATCAAGATATTCGGCACACAGCTGGTAAACTACATCGAATGCTAATCCATGAGGTCCTGGCTCATTCCACTTGCCGGTATAGACTCTGAAACGTACCGTGTATCCGATGCCGGGATCAGCTAGGACCCAGAGCTTATAGCCCCATTTTGTGACCTTATCTTTCATATACTGCCGATTCCCGATCGCCCTTTGGATTTCATCATTCGTTCATCCATGGAGAGATCACGATTTGGCTGAAAAAGGTTCACGGACACTTGATTCACATGCTCCATGAGCCACCACACGAACCGGAGTTTTCCTCTCGATAGCTGGCTCACATCGTCCAAGTCGGCAACCTGGAGCATAGCGAGCAACGCTATGAAGCGGCGTCTGGGCATTATTCGCCGTGGGAGCAGGCCACCATAGAGCTCACCCACGTTCCAGTAGAAATTCAGGCGTGGAACCTTGACAATGCTCATGTAAATTATGAGGCCAATGAATTTCATCATTTCATCCGGGGTCACCTCTTCCCACGAACCATCGGGACGAGCGTGCATCGGTTTTTCTAGTATTGTCGACCAGCCGTATTTGTTCGAGTTTTCACATAGCATAGCGATCACTTGAGTTGTGAAAAAAAGAGCGAAGAAGTCGAGGGCCGTCAGAAATTTTTTTGGTCCGCTCCCGAGTGCCACGCCTACGTAGTCAGTGATGTAAACACCAGGTGCTCGATGCGGCGCAAAGACGATCTGCTGCTGCGCTGGTGGCAAGAAGTCATTGCCGTACATTGTGGAAACCCTACCAAATCAACATAACACAATAAGAACGTCTGACGACCGTGCAAGCTTGCTCAAGAGCAAGCTGAAAGGATAGCGAAACTAACCTTGGTCCACTTGTTGAACTTCCAGGCTGATCGTCCCCCGACTCGCTGTCCGAACTGAAATCCGAACTTCCGAAGCCGCCTTCTGACTCTTCGCTGCTCGTATTATCAACGAAATCAGCCGTTGAAGCAGCAGAATCGCGAGATCCGGGCCATTTTTCAAGCGCGCCGTGTCGCGAACTTGACGCCATTCTCTCAATCAGCTGACGCGACCTCACCCAAGAGAAACTGCGATTGTCCCCCGCCACCTCTTGGAAAAAAAAAACTACTCAAAAAATAGAAGAGTGGTGTTAGAAATACCATACGGATGACGCTACATGTCAAAACGCGCAAAAAATTTAGTTTGAAAGTGCGTTAAAAACCATCGGTCGTATACGACCGACGGCCCTGGGCTGGTCCTGAAAGTGTTAAAAGAAAAGTCATCGCATGTGCAGAAACTGACGGAAATCGGGCCGCATCGCGGTCGTTCGGAGTTCCCGAAACATGCGTGCGGGACTGGCGGAAACAAAAGCAGAAGATTGTCGACAGCAAAGCATCACGCAAAGGCTTCAGTGGACCACAGCAGGGTCGGTTTCCGCAAACTAAAGAGCTGCTCAGCGAGTATGTGCTTGAGCAGCGAGCGGCACAGTGGCCCGTGACGAGAAAACTGCGCCAAGTGCAGGCTATGCAGTTAGCCTTAGAAAAAGGTCTAATGCAGAGCCAGTTTAAAGCGAGCAGGTGCTGGCTAACTAACTTTATGAAAAGGAAAGGCTTTTCCCTCCGAAGGGGAACGGGCATATGCGAAAAGTTTTGCGGAGGAGTTCGATGAAAAGCTTCACAGTTTTCAGAGGTTCGTCCTAAACTTGCGGCACAACAACGGCTACCTGCTTGGGCAAATCGGGAATGCCGATCAGACGCCTCTTTACTTCGACATGCCTGGCACCACAACCGTCGAGAAGAAGGGGGCGAAGCAAGTTCGCGTGCTGACATCGGTCCACGGTAAAACTACAAGGACGTCAATGCTCTGTTACCCGTCAGATGGGCAGAAGCTTCCCCGGTACCTCATATTTAAATGAAAGATGCTGCCGAAAGGAGTAGTTTTTTCTAGTGGTGTGATCGTGCGGACCAACGAGAAAAATGGGTGCGCGTTGCAATCGATGTCTTACTTTTTTTTTCGTCGTGGAAACCGGGTGAGCGTTACAATCGAGGGCGCGGTAGAATCGAGTAAATACGGTATGTGTGGTATGATATTTTTCACTTGGAATGGCGAAATAAAGTTTTAATAACATTATTCTCGAAGCACAGATTTTGACCACTTTCTTTTGCTTGTTCGGTAAAAGTGGACCTAGGACAACTAGAGCTGTAATTGTTTTTGCACAATGTAGCTAAATGTTCACAAAAAATAATCCTGAGAGCCTATTTTTAATTTGCAGCCTCATTTTTTTTTCGTATAAATATTTTTGTTCTTGGTTATATGCAATGAACTTTATTGTGCTGTAATTTGAGAAGTACTTGTTCAATTATAGATCAGCTTGCAGCGTTGCACTCCTTAGGCTTTCTAGCATCCATATATGTGTTAATGACTATGTAATTCTAAGCACATATATTTTTATGGTTAAAAATGTTAGAATTCTTTCTTTTCTTGATTTTCTCAAAATGGCAATTTTGTACACCCTGCATGAAAACTCCCGCAATATATCGGAAACTATCACAGATAGCTGAATATTTTTTTTTTCTTGCAGCATGAAGCAGATTGTTTGGAGCACACAACATAGGAAGCAGATTTTGATTTCTGTTGATGCAAGTTTTTTAAACTAGTTTTTTGTGTGACCACACAATGGCCACATTCAGAGCTATGAAGTTTAGTGTACTGTAAAGTAAAAAATAATGACCCAATCAAAAAAGTGCTTCCTATGTTGTGTAGCTTGTGCTTTCTAGTGTTGATCCCTATGCTATTTGTAAATTTCGGACAGGTGGTTATTTTTCTATTGTGGTAGGAACAATATATATAGTAATCATAATCAAATAATCGGCTAATGAAGCTATAGAAGAAATAACTACATATTTAGAAACTGGAGAACAAACTGAGTAAGCCTGCCAACTTTTGTCACATTTGGTTCAAAAATAAACGAGAGAGCCCTAAGACCCATGTCCCCCCCTTAGGACCGAACCCACGCTAGTGGCCGTACTCCTTGGGGATACGCTGCACACTACAAGTTTGTTTACCCAGCAACGGTGAGAACAAACATTGGCAATTTTAACGAGAGAGCACTAAGAAAAAGCTGACATCGGCAGCAGTGACCCGACAAACGCAAAAAATAATGCAGTTGACTCTCGTTAATTCAAACTCGAAGGGACCTATGAAATTTGTTTGAATTATCGAAAAGTTTGAATTATTAGAAGTTCTCAGATGTACGACTCCAGTTGAGGTGACACTACACATTATGATTAGACATTAATTTTATCACATTAAAATTTTTTAAGTGTTTTAAACCCTAACTGCACGCAATGAACAGAAAGCAGAGATACAAGTAAATGGCCAAGTTTATCGGCCATTTACTGCTGATCAGATTTTAAGAAATCATGAATTACCAACTGCTTCTATGCTATAGGTATGTGCCTTCAGCACAAAGCTCTATACCAGTTGAGAAGCATCACAGTTTACCATGTGTGTGCTTGGTTTCAAACATTTGTTGACTAGCAAAGCCTTTTTCCTTGAAGGCTTGAGGTGCTTATTTTGAATTTTTAGACTGTTAGGATTATATAAACATGCAAATTATTAACTGGTAGTGGGAAAGCAGCAAATTATATGGAACTGCACAAAGTATGAATTAACCGAATGATGGGGTTTGAATTAAGAGGCCTTTAAATACATTGAAATAATAAATGACTTGGTTGGATCATGCATACAATATTAAAGCATATTTCTAGCATGATTTTATAAAGCTTCACTCAATAAAATGAATACAACATTGTCAACTTCCCTCTACATGCTTTGCATAACGTTGATTCCCAAGGTATGTGGGATCAGCCAAATTTTTTTCCTAGCATGATGTGTATATTTTCTAAATACAAGTATATTTAATGTGCATTCTGGACAGCGAGTTGCAAAGTGAATCAGCATACCGCAATAATCTGGAATCAGAATTGTGCGCAGTCCAACAAAAATGCATGTTCTCAAAAATTATAATATGTTGGACTTGCCGTGCGATCCAATGTCAAGCTGCATTTTACTTGTAAATGTTCAGCATAACTTTTGTTCTAATGGGTTTAAAACATTCATTTTTGCTGCCCAGCATATAGTTCTGATCCCAGAGTTTCCTGACAGGCTGATTTACTTTGTAACTCTCTCCATTTACAAAAAAAATCTTGCCGCCCAAAAGGCAGAAAGAATATTTTGAATGTCAAGAGCTACAAACTGCACTAAAGAATAACTGCATATATGAATTTAGCACACAAATATACATATACTCAAGAGGTTTTATCGAAAGTGCCATGTTACCTTCAAGTGCCATGTTACGAAAAATGCGGCTGGAGTGCTAGCTATGCTCCCAAAGGTTGAGTCCAAACAAGCTTTTGTTTCTGTGGCAAGCAGGGTTTGTCAAAGCAGTGAGCTGGGCACCCACCTGGAAGTACTGTGTGGCCGAAGCCTCGTCGGTCCTCTGCCGGAAGGTGGAGTTGCTCAGGCCAGTCTTAAACGCTTCCACTATCCGATGAAACCGAAGCAACTCTACGAAAAAGGGAAAGACACTCCAAGGTCAGTTTTGCACAGCTATGCATTCACACAGGCCTCTTGCATGATTGTTTTGCACGACACCAGTAGAGACGCACATTTCAGTGGCGCATGCCACAACCTCTGGCATCCTTCCACACCACAGCCGCTATTGATATTTTTTTACAGATTATATACACATGTTCACAAAAATCAATCCCACAGGCTATCTTAACCATGAAGTTTTGTGTCTGTACCCCTTTAAATTAATTTGAACATATGCTGCAGGGTCTCCAAACATGTCAAACCTACCTTGGCTGTTAGGGAAGAGCACCAGCAGAGTTCCTTTGGAGTGGGTGATGACGAAGGCACGCTTGCCAACGCGGGCCGTGTCCGTGTCTTTGAAAACTTCGACCTCGTGCACAGACTCTGGCCCATTGCTCTCACCTGCAGAGGGGGAACCACCGCTATGCATCTTACAATGTGGTTAGCTCACTCATCTGCAGCGAATGTGTGAATAGAAAAATTTTAAACTGAAATGAAGACAAATCCAATAAAAATCACAATGAACTGAATATTAATACAAATCAAGCACTATTAGAATAGCACTATTAGACACAATTTTTAAAATATGAAACTTGAGCTGTTTATAGAACTTTTTATGCTGATTTCAAATATATAATTAGCTGTCTTGCAAGTTGCATACTTTTAGCTCTGCAACAAGGCAAAGTGAAAACATTAGGCCTTTTGCCCCTCCTCTTTTCATCACTAAACTTCCAAAATTTTTACCACTCATAGTTCATAATGTTTCAAATAAAGTATAGAATGCTAATAAGTAATTAGGAAGGCCATACAAAATATGCAAGAGACATGAAAAAGTCCATATTGCTCCTACCCTAGCAAAGATGTACATATAATTTTTTATTATATAATCAAAATTTTAAAATTTATTCTAGAAAATTTGGGCAGAACTTCATGCAGATCCAAGCATTAAAAGCACACGAAAAAGGAGGCGCATACTGAAAAAAAAAAACAAAAAGCAAAATCTGTGCTATGAAAAAATCGAGTTGTAAAGTTAAAATTCCCTTTTTATTTATGAAAGATATTAAATGCGAATAATATCTTGCCGCTCCTCCGCGTAGCGTTTGCAAGCCAAAACTCTTTCCTAGCCTCTCCAGCATCCGACCAAGAGGTCATGTGTACTTGACGTGCCGGAACAAGCCCAACCCCCGTGCACGCTAGTAGCGTTTTTTTTTTTTAACCATCGTTGTTTTGAGCTCAACTGTGTGTTTCTGTGGGATGGTTTGGAAATGCTGGCTTAGACGCGGTAAAATAGATAAGCCCAGTGAGTGTGCGAATGCATAGGAGCGTTCCATGCCTGTGGTCTGCTCGATGCGCTGATTGCGGGGACACATGCGAAACGCCGGCACATTAGCCCCGCATCTCGTTGCAGTTCAAGTAAAAAAAATGAAAAAAAAAAAATGCTCACATTCCCTTATTGCGTCTCATTATTTATCTAGAGATTTATTATTCTCTTCCAAGCAACAAATACATAAACTATGCGTGTTGTGTTAAATAATTTTCGCCATGTCACGTGCCACTGTTGGCAACGTCTGAGCATAGTCCTCTACATAGAGGACCAACGTCACTGCATTGCCGTGTAAGTAGGGCCATTCATACGCGCACGTCATGTCCTTATACTCTGGGCGCGCGCACGCAAAAGGAAGGGGGAACAGCGTTCATCTTGAAATTTGACCCATTTCCGCAGCACGTAGTGTTGCAAATTTTGGCAGACATAATCGTGAATGTCTCATCTACGCACAACGCTTGTCGGCTCAAAATTGTCAAACCTGGTGAGTGGCCCCTTAAAGCTGCATTTGTGCCACGTACCGTCGTACATAATTACAATGTCGTCCCCGCTAACTTCTCTCACTGTGAGCTCCATCAACTTCACGTGATTGGCACAGATGGCATCCACTGCTGCATCACAGTCTTTCTGGCTGAAGCAGTGAATGACTTGAAAGGCATTGGCATTTGCAAGCCAAGAATCGCCACAAATCGGACCAGCTGCTCGTAGCCCATTCCTACAGGGCCCGCTGCCACCACAGCTTTCACATTGACAGTTTGAGTGATCCAAGCGAATCAGTTGGAGAAGGCGAAAAAGAGGATGCTAGAAGAGGCCAGCAGGAATATAAATGAAATGGCTGACTGCAAACTGCTTTCGTTAGAACTTCATATTTGGCGCAGCCTTTGACAGAATTCGAAAGATGTGGGTAACCTTCTACCAACAGTTGGACGGCCGGCCAGTGATTGCTGATTACGAGCCAGTCATTACGAGCTGGACGGCGAGAACTTCGTTGCGGTGCCTGAAGAGACGACTACACCTGGTCACATCGAATTTGATTGATATGTGGGGTTTAACGTCCCAAAACCACCGTGATTATGAGAGATGCCGTAGTGGAGGGCTTCGGAAATTTCGACCACCTGGGGTTCTTTAACGTGCACTCAAATCTGAGCACACAGGCCTATAACATTTCCGACTCCACCGAAAATGCAGCCGCCACAGCCAGGATTCGATCCCGCGACCTGCGGGTCAGCAGCCGAGTACCTTAGCCACTAGACCACTGCGGAGGGCCTGGTCGCATCGAATCCATCGCCACCATTGCCAAAGAGCCAATCAGCGACGTCATCACCAGAAATACTGTGAAGGTTAAAATTTTCGGAGTTCGAAGCTTGGGAAAAGCAAGCCTCTATTAAGGAGCAATCGCCGAGCCATTCTGATGCAGTGACAGATACGTCAAGGTGGTCACACGTGCTCTCTCGTTTGATTTGGTTGCAAAAGCAGCCATTGCAGCAGCAACAAGCACTCTGGACGGTTCTGGCATCAGACTAGATTCCCCATATGACAGTAAACCCGGACATCTTTTATGTCAATTCCAGAGTATCAGAGTGATCAGAATTATTGGCACACAGACTGTCACAAAATGAAAAATATGCAAGCATGTCTTTCTGAAAATGCCAAACAATGGTTTGACTTGCGTTTTGCCTGACATAAAGAAGATTCATGGGAGTCATAGAAAGACAGCTTTCTCGGTGCCTTCAGAAAGAACGCAGTAGACTTATGGGACAAAGCCATCACGTATGAGCAAAACAGTGATAACCTAGTAGACTATTTCTTCATAAAACAATTGCTGTATGATGCTGATCCAAAGCTTCCAGAACCATGCATCGTGCCTTCACAAGGGATGAAGAAAGAAAGTCCGTACAAAGTGAACTTGAGGCACCTCTAACATCTCAGGAGTTGCTTCATCGTTTGAAGTAATGTCCGACCCCACAGATACATCAGAGTTGAAAAAAAATGCACCACCTGAGCCGAAGAAAGCCGGGTCCTCTAGAAAAGGTGTCTTGCCGTACACGAATAATTGCACGACATTTGATGCGCCACAATTGTATGAGACTGAAGGATCACTTCAAGAATCATCGCATAATTACTTATAAAAGCATGTACTTGAGCGAGAGACCGTATTCATTTTCAGCCCAAACGTACTCTTCATTGAGATGGTTATTAATGGGGCCAACGTATCAGCTCGGCTCGACACAGGTGCACAGAAACTTTTATTAACGAGAAGATGGTACCCAAAGATGACATGTGTCCAGGAAAACCAATCAGGGTGTGTAGCTACGACGAAACTTGCAGGGAGTTCACCAAATGTACAGAGGCGAAAAGATGTCCAATTTTGAGGCCGGGTAGGAGCCCCTAAAAAGTCTTGTAATGTCAGGCATCGATTTTGATTTTCTTCTTTCCCGACCCAACATGAAACTTCTGAGGATAGACATTCTGTGGTATGACGTCATTACAACCGACAATGTTGAATGTTGCTCCCGTATTATAAAAACGCAGCCAAAAATAGTACGATGCGCCGAGGAAGTCCAGTCGAAGTACGCAGAAATTAGTTCTTTGGGAATTTCTTAGTAGCAAAGTTCCTTTCGAACTACGCTACAAAAACGTTGCAACAAAGAAGTCATATGCCTTGAGCCACAAAAAGAAGGCTTGACTTGCACAGGAGCTTCAAAGCATGCTAGACGCAAGCATCATTAGGCCATCCACATCTTTGTTTGCATCACCGATTACGGTCACACGTAAAGAATACTGATCATTCCGGTTACGCACAAACTAGACTCATCAACCGGCAGACAGACTCATTCCCTTTCCCAATGCCAAGAATCTATGAGATAATTGACAAGACAGGCGGGTGTAAATGGTTTCTTAGAATAGACTTGTGTAAAGGATATTTGCAGGTGCCACTGAGAGAAGACAAAAAAATTTACAGCATCGTTACACTGTTTGATGTGTACGAATATAACCAACTCCCGTTCGGGTGGAAGGATTCTGGTGCATTTTTTTTTCAGAAAGTGATTAACTATGAACTGAAAAATCTTATTGGAAAGTTCTGTAATGTGTACGTTGACATCTTAGTTTATTTGAGAACCAGAGAAGCTCACAAGATTCACCTTTCAGCAATTATGCAAGCATTCAGTGATGCACAACTAAAAATAAATGGAAAAAAGAGTGCTTTTGCCGGTCTGTAGTATTGCTTGGCAGGCGCTTTGACGGAAAGACCAAAAGGAAGAAAGCATGCAGTGAATCAGGTCTCTTGAGAAAAATCATTCCCCTCATGAGTTTTTAGGCCTTGCAGGACACTTCAGGGCATGTTCGAAGTCTTAAGCTTAGCTTCAACGATGGGCAGAAGAACAAGGCATTAAATTACGTTTCCCAGCACAATACCACCCTGAATATAATTAATTCCCTTGTACAGAGGGTGAAGAGACCTGAAGATGTTTTTGTTTTAATGAAGATTAGCGCTGTTCTGAAAGGTAGAGGGGCCACTCTCAGACAGGAAGACGACAACAATCGTGGTTGGTGCATCGACGCTTGTACCTGATCGGCTCTTGCCCCCCCACCTTCTACGACGAACCATACAGTTCATTAAAGATGTGCTGCGCCGAAACGCTCAATTTTAATTGGTGAACCTGCCGGATACGCTACTGTCGTCCTGGAACTTCGCAACCATACGTTGCCCCCAGTTGATTTAGTTGATTTCATGGCGCCAGACGATGACGAGCAACCTGATCCCAGGCAACAACCCCTCCAACTGTTTGCCGACCCACACTACAGACAACCGTTCGCGGCAACCGCCACGCGCAGAAGAGACTCGCTCAAGTCTCGCCCGCCACCAAGGCCTACCCCTTTTCTAGACTACCCCTTTTCTAGTCTGCTTTAGTCCCGCTTTCCCGAGACGCCTCTGTTGACTCACCTGATCTTTTCACACCAGCTGAAAGTGCTCTTTGCCGCAAGTGATGCTTGCTACCCTTCGCCGTCCTCTCGATTCAAGACTCTTCTAGCGCAATTTACGTTTCGAACCCATTTCACTTCCCTTCCATCCTAC